TATTTTATGTATGTGCAAAAAAATTTTTACATCTTTAAAAGATACTTGTTAAAAAAAAAGGGTACCTAAACATAAGAATGTATTATGAGGTCACAAAAATTATGTCCGACTTAAATTAAACAGAAAAAAAAAGTTTAACTAAAAAATTATTTTTGTATTTCTACAGAATAATAAAATATTTTTATTAAGATACCCCTAAGCAAAAATCCCCTAAATTTTATTCACGGAAATTTTTAAAGATATACGTTCCCCCTAAGCAAAAGTCACGTTCCCTAAGCAAAGAGTCACGTTCAAAGAGTCACGTTCCCTAAGCAAAGAGTCATGTTCCCTAAGCAAAGAGTCTCACGTCCCCTAAGCAAAGAGTCTCACGTCCCCTAAGCAAAGAGTCATGTTCCCTATAAGCAAAGAGTCATGTGAGTCATATTCCTAAGCAAGAGTCATGTTCCCTATAAGCAAAGAGTCATGTTCCCTATAAGCAAAGAGTCATGTTCCCTATAAGCAAAGAGTCATGTTCCCTAAGCAAAGATGTTTGGTATTTTACTCTTTCAAAACATGTCCTGGTACCCCCTTAAGGAATTTGAAAATATTGTTAAAACAGTTCTAGCCTCATATTAAAAAAATGATAATCCAAATTCGGTAGAAGAAGAATTTTTCTAAGTAGAAAAATGTTCTCACTGTTAATATCATAATCCCCTCAGTGGCGTACACAGACCTCAGTATAAGAGGGGTAGGGGCTAGATTCTAAAAAAATATATAGACGAAAGCGTTCAGGAGTCTATGGCAAAAATTAGAAATCTGTTGGTTTATGGGGGGGGGGGTGATCCCAAACCCTCTCCTTGTCTAGGCCGCTGATTCCTCTTTCCTACCGTATTAAAAGCAGAATATTTTTAAATAACATCTATTTGTTTATATAAAATAATTTTTTCGTATTTTTATGTTATAGATTTCCATGCATTAAAGAAAAAAGTCATGTAATTTATTTGTTGAATGTATGTTTGTAATTTAAAAGAACGTAGCAGGACATACGTGACATAATTAATAACCTCATTAATATTGCAACATATGAAAAAGTGACATGAGCTCAAAAACTTATTCAGTTTATGTCAAATAATCCAAAAGTATTTCACAAACTCAATTTTTTGGCAAAACAATTACCACTACACATTTAAATTAATGCTTAAATTCCAGAAAAAAAATTTTCGCAAATTCAACGTCGCTTAATGCAAATGCCAAATCCAATTAATCACATATTTTCTTTTTATTTCCAAACTTCGAAGATTACTTTTATTTTATAATCATATCAGTCTCAAGCCTGACAAGTTCAAACTAGAATACAAGCTTTTAAAATTATTTTTAAAAACATTTACTTTGATAAAATAACACATTTTTATTAATTTCGAGAGAGTGAATGAATATTAACGTCACACTATTCAGCTACTCGATGGCTTTTGCCGACAAACCTCGTAATTTTGAAACATGCTCAAGTGATGAGGACGACACCTGAGTTGACATTCCCTCTCCTAGCTTCCACAACACACCAGCGGGAGAACGTTTGATCCTCGACAGATTTAACGTGTATCGCCCCCAAAACACGGCGGGTCTTCAGTGGTACAAGGCTCGAATTCATGACACGCCGGCCACGAGTCCGTTACCCTGACCACCAGGCTACTTCGGCCTTATTGATCTCGAACACTGTATAAACATCACACAACTTTTCTTTCTAATTCTTTGCGGAAATTGTAAACTTTTATCTGTTTTTCTACGTTTCTTTTTTTGTATACTGATGTTATCCTATTTATCCATTTTTTATAGTTGTATCAATTCGTTGTTTTAATTTAAATTTCAACACATTTGAAACAATAAGAGTTTGTAAAAATACTTTCAGAATCTGTGAAAACATATAAGTTCATCTGAGCATCAAAAGGTTTGAGTTGGGGTGTCATCCTCGTCACTTGACCATAATTCAAAAACAAGAGGTTTATCGCCTTTAAGTTAGACGTTAATAAACAATAGATTAGTCAAATTGAATTGTACGACATAATTTTCTGTTTTTTTTAAATAGTTATCAAGCTACATTTAAGTAAAAAAGATTTAAAAAGTCGACTTCCAAAGCCTTGGATGCATGTATTTACAACAATCATTTATTTAAAAAAAGAACGAAATTGCATTAAAAAAATTGGCTTAAACTCCAATTCAAGAAACAAAACAGTTAACAACAATTCTAAATGTTGTCATGGTAAAATATAAAGGAAAACTTCAAGGAAATAAACTACCCAAGCCTTGAATGTATAAAATTTCATTTTACAATTCAAAGCAATCATACTTATTTGAAAAAAGAACTTTTTGCATTAAAAAAATATTAATTAGCCCAAGTCCGAATACAACAAACAGAAAAGTTGGCGACAAATCGGACCGTTGTCATGGTAACTCGTTCAAAGGCTGCAGCCAAGGTCTCTGGCTTTTGGAGGCAAGTATCGCTAAATGGTTTTCTTATCTGCCTCTTCAGAGAAAAACCCACAAAAAGGAATAACCAGCTATCTGCATCACTTAGACGAGGACATAAACATTTTCCTTTTTTTACCCGGGAGTTCGCGGAGATTAAATGAATTGCGAAAAAAAAAATTACTTTTTGTTGGTGAGCCCTTTTTTGTCATGAAACGTTTAAAAGTTAGTTTTGAGTCCAATTTTTTTTTTAAGCTGGGAATCGGAAGATTTGAAATTCATTTTGAATATGTGATTTATTGCATATCAAAATGCTATTGCATTATTATATATGTAATTGAAATTCATAAACTTAATTCTTCTGAGCGTATATTTTTTTATAAAATCTGATGGAGCTCTTAAGATTTTTACAAATAGTAGACATGTATATCTTATTGGAACTTTTTCCTGTTTAATAGCCGGAAAATTACATAGCAAGTAATGTTGCCCATTCCGTATTTTTAAGAATCATGTCTAAGTCAAATATTTTATCTATGAACATATCTTAATAATCCATCAGTTATAAGGCTATTTATCGGATTAATCAAATTTAAAGGCGTGATCACTGCTGCCACTTTCTAAAAATATATTGCCTATTATTATAATATCTAAATGCAAAGTTTAAAGTAGCAAAACACACAAAAATACAGTTATACAATTCTAGTGAGACCAATTGCCTTATACGGCAGAGAATGTTGGAGAATTAACAAAGACGGAGAGAGAAACGGATAACTTTCGAGAGAAAAAGCTTGCGAAAAATTTTTGGTGCAATTAGAGAAAACAGAATTTGGAGAGAGAATACGATCTAACCTTGAAATTTAATCAAAATACATAGAACCCAACATAGTCAAAGTAATCAAGGCTTCCCAAATAAGGTGGCTGGGACATATATTTCGCGATACAGAGATGAAAATCTTGTAAAGAAAATAACTTTCCAAATGGTCCAGAGGTTTTAGATCCAGATGGTCTAAGCTGGCTGAAACAGCCTTGGCCGGTAAGCGGCCGTAGTGCTTGGAAAAAAGAAGATTACTATTATAATGCAACGAGTAATAACTGATAGGTTTTTAGATACGCACTTCCTAATACTTGGGGGCCACAATAGATAAGGTTATCATCGCAAATCCGTGGCCTGTGCTGAGAATCGTAATTTCGAGTCAGGGTGCGACTGAAGACCTACCATCTTGAGAGACTGATGCTCATTAGTTCTGATTCATAGTCCTTACACGGCGTCGTGTGGAAGTTTCGAGAGAGTGAAGTGTCAACTGAACTTGACCAAGGTTCAAAATTATGAATTCATTCGATAGCTTTTGTTTGGCTTTAAAAAGTGCCATTTTAGCGCTCAAATCAAACCAAATACTTTGGATGATACTCTTATGTCATCCATCATTCAATGCATAGTTTTAAATACTTAGTCATTGTATAGAACAATAGGATTCGAATCATAATCTTACAATTATATAGTGCGAGCGACTTTTGGAATTGATAAAATATACGACATTTAAGTATTCTATAGCTTTCGGTTCGCTTAATAGTTAGCAAAAAATTAAAAACTGAACTATAAAATGCCACAAATATATCTCTTCAACTTAATCTTGCATCCTTTTTGACCCCATGATAACAATTCAAAATCTCTTATGCTATAAAAAACAATTTATGTTTAATGAAATTAAGACTAATCAGTATGTTTGAAGTTTGAAATTTATGTTCAAAATTGTAAAAATATATTTTAAATTTGTAAATTTTCAAATAATAAAAATTTCCAAAGTAGGAAAAATTAAAGCTCCGAAGTTTAATCCTTTTGAATGTCACTGTTGAATTAGATCAGTGATTCTCAAGCACTGTGCCGTGGCACTTTTGTTTGCCGCCAAATTTTTTTTTTAAATTACAAAAAATAAATTTAAAATTATGAAAAAAAAATAAAATTCAGACCTGAATTATTCGGCCGTTTTACAGAAATAAACTAAGAGTATTCGGGGTATATTTAACTTATCCTTTCGTGGATAGATGGATATAAAAAAATTGATTACTAATTTCGCTCTGTATTAATTGAGATTTAATTTCAAAACATTGAAAAGAGTCGATTAATTCATTTTCGATTCAAATTAAAGGCGATTATCTCATAATAGCCGAAAAAGCTTTAGCAATATTATCACAATTTTTTACATCTTGTTTGTGCATGAACTCTGATTTCTAAGGTTATCAAATATATATAAAACAAGTATTATATTTTTAAAAAAAATGTTAAGTCAATTCCTACTTAGGTCGACAAAGAAAAATTTTATTTTAGTTACTTTTTATTAAATAATTACAATTAATATAAATATGTATATACATATAACAGAATCACACTATTAAGTGGCAAAATAGAAAGTGATTTTTCTTGCAATTTTTTCCATTTTCCTTCCTATATAGGGTGTTGGACTATTATTTTTGTTTATGATTTATACACACATTCATTAAATATAATTATTCCAATAAAATAGTATAGTAAAAAGAAATTACATTCTCAGAAATTAGGCTTTCCCAGGTGGTATAATTGAACCCACTATCTTTGGATTAAAAGTCCAACGCGCTATCCATTGCGCGACAGGGACACAGTGAGCGATGTTCCTTTTTATGTATGGTGTTGAACTATCATTTTTGTTTGTTACTATTTATTCATTCATTAAGAAATTAATAAATTTATGTTTAAAAAAACTGTATTAAGTGCCATCCACTATAAGTTTTAAATGTATTTGAACTTAAGTACTTGAATAAAAAGTATTTTATCAATGATCGAAAATTTGAACAAGATATATTTTATATAATATATATAGAGAGAAGTCATAATTGCATTCGATTAGTATGCATGTTACAATAAGTATTCGATTATGTTACACATGCCACTATTGCATTCCATTATTATATATTCCATTATTATTAAAAAGTATGAATGTAATGTCACATGATACAGGAGATAAGTTTAAAGTTAATGTTATTTGTTTCTGAATGTGTTTTCATTTTAACTTGCCTTAAATAAAATTCTAAATTTTTTATGTGTCAGTTGTATTATTATTAAAGACTGGAAAGCCTCAGAAACTAGAAGAATTTTATTTCCCCACTTCATCGGTAGTTCAGAAATTAGCGACAACCAGTGGCGCACACAAGGGGTGTCCTGGAGGTCCGGACCCCCCAAGCCCTTGATTTTTTCCGATTGATTATAATTCTAAGTATATAGTATGTAAAATTTAATTAAGTATTTGTTATTAATGATTAATTTTATAAATTAATGCTAATTATTTATTCAATAATTAGTTTGTTACTGTGTTTTGTTCCCGAAAATCGACAAAATCAAAAGGAGCATGATACAAGAATGGTGAACTTTCGACCCCGGAGCCCCCGAAAATTCCTGTGTGCGCTACTGGCGACAACGTATGTGGTGAAAGTTTCGTTCAATATTTTAATGATTTTTTTTAAATTTTTAGTAAAAATAAACTTTTTAAAAATTAATAAATGTATTTAAAGTTTTTTAATGGTCTCGTTTTTTTTAAAGATATTAAAGTATCTAAAATTAATTCTAAACACTCTAAAAAAATTCAAAATAATTTCAGTTACACACAACAATAAAATAATGCTATATTTCATATCAATTTTAGGTTTCCTTATTTAGAATTATTCGCCATTCGATATTTTTATGTAAATAAATACAAAACATTACAAATATTAAATAAATAAACAATACATAAATGCAAAAGTTATACATGTCAAATTGTTGAATGTAAGTATTTATTTTGATCGATACATGTATTTCTTATGTAAAAAGCTAACCTTTCCCTCACTTTCTACGGATGTAGGGAACTATCCCCCCCAGGATCCCTAGAAGAGATGCTTATCACATTTTATCAATACTACAGGATTACTCTAATAGCAGTAAGTCGGAGGTCAAAGAGCAGATACAGTGTATATAGACTGTGAACTAAGTCCTCTCCTTTCTAGTAGCGATATGAATCAGTAGGGTAAAATGTTACTAATCTAAGACGTGGGGCGAAGGAGGAATATGCTTTTCCTCATACTTCTATTCAAAATAAATTGAAAATTGATAAAATAAAAATAAACTTTCTCTGCAAAAAGCTTGCTTTGTTTTCTTGTTGCTGTTACTTGACCTAATACTTTCTCTATCTCTTCTTGATTGATTCATTTGCTGTTTGAAAATATTTTATTTATCGAAGCTAATGTCATTAGATCTATATAGGAAAATTTTGGTACTAATAAAATTAACACTTACCTGGAATTTAGGTACAAACTGTTTAAATAAGCAAATAAACAAAATTCGCTCACACTGTTAATTTTTTTGTAAAATGAAAATAATTTTTCAGATCGACTCCATATTTTAAAAAATAGGAAATCAATGCTGTGACTTTTTCTTCGGTTTCTAATCATTTAAAATATAGCTTTTAAATAAAATAATATTCCCATTAAAGCGAAATTGATTAACGAATTGAGCGTTGCCTATTTTCAACATAAAATAGTTTTTTTATCACGTTACTATTAAATAACAAGTAATATAAAAAAATTTAAGTCAATTCCTACTTAGGTCAACAAAGAAAATTTTTATTTTAGTTACTTTTAATTAAATAATTACGATTAATATAAATATGTAGAAACATATGATAGAATCACTATCAAGCGACAAAATAGAAAGCGATTTTTCTCGTAATTTTCCTTTCTATATGCGGTATTGGAGTTCTTTTGGTACTATTTACTCATTAATTAAATTTAATTATTCCAATAAAATAGTATGGAAAAAAAGAAATCACATTCTCAGAAATTAGGCCATCTCAGGTGGGATTTGAACCCACGACCTTTGGATTAGAAGTACAATGCGTATCCATTGCGCTACAGGGACATAACGAACGATTTTCCTTTCTTTATGTATGTTGTTGGATTATTATTTTTGTTTATTACTATTTATTCATTTCTTAATTTAATTAATATTTCAAAAAACTGTATTAACATCAAGTGTCATCCACTAAAGTTTAAAAAAAAGTATTTGAACTTGAATGGATGAATAGAAAGTATTTCGTAAACTGAATGTGTGTGTGTGTTTACATAGGGAGAGAGTGAACTAATAGTAGGAATTGAAAAATAAGTAAATATTCTCTATTAAATGACTTTAAATATTTTTTCTAACTTATATCTTCAAACTTTCCATACATAATAATCTATTTGTTAAGTAGTTTAATTCAATGAAATAATTATGAAAAAACATGTTTACAAAAATTTAGGAATATGTATATAACATAGTATGCTGGAAAAAGCCGTTATGTAAAAAAAAAATTTTAAATGAAGCCTAAATATTTAATTATATAAAATCAAATTGATTTCATACAAAGATAAAATTTTACGATTACATATATTAACAAAAAATTTGAATTCGAATAACCTCAAGACGAAATGTGATTTGAAGGAGATAAAAGCTTCACTAATTCTTTGAGAAAAGTACAAATGTTCTCATATTATTATAAAAACAAAAAAAAATCAATTCAATCACACAAACGATAACATACAACAAAAAAATAAATAAATAAAATTAGTAACTGAATGTTAAATTTGATGAAATAAATTACTAGATTTAAAAAACAGTAAAATGCTTGCACATACTTTATGGAAACATCTTTTATCACTTTTTCAAAGATTTTTTTTTTATATTTTAATGATTATTTGTAAAAAAATATTTTACAATTAAATAAATTACAATATGCAAGAAAAGCGTTAAAATTGAAAATGTAGGTAATTTAATATAAAAAAGAATGTTATATGACATCCTATTTTACTAAAAGAAAAAAAACCTTTATAAAAGTCAACCATTCTTTTCATTATAAATATAGATATAAAACATAAAATAAATAATATTCATGTTTTCATACAAAATGCTTGTAGAAGTACCAAGAAAAAAAAATCATGCATAAAATTTTTACCACAATAGAGAACCTTCTGAAATATAAATTTCTAATGTATTTCGGTAATTAGTGAAAAACTGTTGGCATCGGTAAAAATAAGCTTTAAAATCTAAATTAACTTAAAGAACTTATGAGTACTTTAGGCTAAAATGGCTTGAAACATAAGGAAGTCCTAGAAGTATATATTATTAGTATAACAGCATTTTTCTGAGTATGTTAGCGGCGTACTGACAATATTTTAACTAAAAGTATTCTGGAAACTATGTTTAATTTAAATTAATTTTGTTTTAGATTTGTGTTACATCAATTTTTGTAAATTTTTTATTTCTTTTCATACTGTATATAACATTTTATAATTTACGTTTTGCAATCTTTTTTATGGAAAATATAATTAGATTCCTAACGTTAATATTTTTTTTAGTTTTTATAATTTAATTAATTGTATAATAATTATTATTGTTTAATAAAAAGAAACGATCAAGTTAATATAAAAATATTCTAAAGTAATCAATTGAATCAATAATATTTAAATTAAAACAAATTATAATTAACAAAGCAACAGTATGTATTCATCATTATAAAACGATTTTCCATATTTTTTTCAAATAAATCCATAATTATCGATAAAAATTAGGGAAATATTGTGAAAATGTAGTTATTTACATTGACTCTCAAACTGAACATCATTAAATACATGTCACTTATCTACGCTTTCTTTATAAGACCCTAACCCAAATATTGGATCGAATCTCAAGTAGGCGTTTCACCTACTTTACGATCGCAGTAAAATAATATTACAATCCAATCTCCCCTCCTCCATAATATTTATTGAGAGGGGAAGAGTAATGAAGTGGCAATCGGGGAAGCTGGGATTAGTGAAGTTAAAAGCCGTAAATTATTCACTAAGCTGAGTTTCCCATATGGTTTGAAAGGGCCGGTAACATCACAACAGTGAACTAGCGGGAATTTGAACTGAATAGTACAAAGCATGAGGTGTAAAAGTGATCCAAAAACGTTAATACACGATGTAAAACTTTTATTTTCCTCCTTTTTTCGGGCTATCTTTGTTCAAAAAGTCCAGAACTTTGTGATTTTTTTCTCAAATAAATACTGGAATATGTTTTTGTAATAGTGTTCTATGAATTTGCATGCTTCAAATTTAAAGACTAAACCTTCGCCTAGTCCAGGGATGGCCAACCTGCGACGAGCGTGCCAGTGTAGCACGGAAGGGTTGTAGCAGTAGCACGCCAAAACTTATTGAAAAATTTTAAAAAATTGAATGGATAATCCACATTACAATTGGTGCAATTTTATTGTGTGTGAGAAGCAGTTGTTCTAAAATAACACTCTTCAAAAAGAGTTTACATTCTTCAAATTTAAAATAGGCTTAATAAATTGAATTACAATAAGAAACTTTCATACTGATATATTCCTTAATTGTTGAGGGCTCTGGCTTTCCAAAGAAAGTACACTTCAAGAGTTTTTCGAATTTGAAAGAACTCTTAAAATATTGAGAAGAAAGAGAAATGACCATTGAATGCTAGCTATTGAAGAATTAAATTTCTACTACTTAGACTTGCATGAAAAATGTGCTATTTACGTACAAATCCCATAATAACCCTATAAGTAACATTTCTTCACCTTTTTATACTTCT